CTGCGACTTTCTAACCTCCTGATTTCACTCCAAATTCTCACAGCCATGGCTACAAAACCACAACCATGGCTATAGAATTCTATCTTCCACAATTTTTCTACAAAAAAGGGAGAAAATTACCATTAATTTCTACTACTCTTTTATCTTCTAATTTTACCTATTTTTAGAGTTAAAAAGCATCAACCTATTTACATTTTGAAAAAAAGAAAGAAAGAGTGCTAAATCATAACAAAAATATATGTATAATAAGCACTCAACATATGTTTTGATGTGGATTAGAGTACAACGGGAAACCCTATGAGAAACAAATAGGGATATGATCATTTGAGAAGAATTAAAATGTTTAATGTGAAATTGAGTATGAATTCGTGTTCTAGAAGTTATTTGAAGTAATTGTATCGATTGACACTACTGCAAGATGTATATTCTTCATCGGCTCTCTAAATTCATCTACATCGGTTCTAAAACCGATGTAGAATAGAGCGACGTAGAAAATGTATATATTTTTACATCGGTTCTGAAAAATCGATGTAGATTGTATTTTTTAAAAAAAATCATGCTTATTTTTGGTCAGAAGTAAATTTAACCTTGAATGTTGCACATTTAACCAAACAACATGGACAAGAGAAATCTTCCGTAACTGCAATCCAAGCTTTCAGTTACTATATAAACTGATTGCTAGTAAACATTGATATTTAGAAGAAAAAAAAAGAGTTAACTATCAGTTATAGAGTAATCTCAGGTGGCAAAAACTAATCCTCAACCAATGAACCAGTAACTAATTATTCTAATCAAATCAACATAAATATAATTGACTATAATGTGAATATTCCTATATAAATGTTAATACTCTAAATATCCCCCTAAGCTAAAGCTATTAAGCTCTCCGCTTGTTACAAATAAACCCCTAAACCTCGAGAAATAGAACCACCTAGAGCGAGTGGTGGGACTAAAGGAAGATGATGATGAAGGGGCAGTTGATGAAGAGCACGAAGTTCATATTCCATCACCATCACCTGAAATAAAAAAATACTCATATTTCACCATTATGAAGAATGTGACACCCTTACTACCCCCAACACATATATCGTAATAATGTAATTAAACTAAGGAAATTAAATTTTCAACATAGGTAAAAGGGTTCACATAAAACTTCATAACTGTTCTTTCTTCAATATCCAAAATAACTGGAAATAAAACTTGGAAGGTAAAATTTAAGAGTTTACAAATTGTTTTCAAAAGACAAGGTATAACTCAAAATACATATAAAAATCTATATCCTAGAATTTTCTGCCCTGATGTCACAATATCAGAGCACACCTACAATTCAACTATTGGCATCCTAGATGTCACTCAAAGTCGGATCTTCCTCACCTAAAATATCCACAAATTGTACAGTGAGAAAAGAAAGCATCTATATATAAAGCACATAAGGAAAACGCAACATATTGTATCATTATGACTCTATACTTAATAAAATATTCATAAACATTGCAATATATCATAACTCGATCAATCATACATCATCATCACGTCATAATTCACAATCACACCAATCATCACAAATTTTACACTTCACATTATGCCAAGGTCACGTTACCCATTTAACAATCCAAGATCGTGCTCACCCCTGATATAACACTATGCCAAGTGAAATATTGTGAAATAGAACCCTTGAGAGGTCAAATATGAAAGTTGTTACATTAATAAATTTATTAAAATTAAAAAAGATTATAATTTCGGACAGAAAATTTTGTCGAAAATTTTCGTATGAAATTTCGACAGATTTTTCTGTCGAAAATTTCTGACGAAAATTTTCGATGGATATTTTCGTCAAAAATTTCCGACAGAATTTTTCGTTGGAAATTTCCGTCGGAAAAATTATTTTCAATGGATTTTTTTTTTCCAACGCCACTTTTTCTGACAATCCGTCAAAAAAAAATCCGTCAAAAATTTACCTGTTTCCGTCAAAAAATTCTGTCAGAAATCAACATTTTTCTTGTAATGTTCTAGTTGAAATGTGTGACATCACATGTAATGCTATGTTGTATTGGTTGTGATGAAAAAATTGAGTAATTGATGTAGTGATGTTTAAATTGATGTTTTATTGTGGTAACTAGACTACGTTGTGCATGTTGACACATGTTGGTTATGTTGTGAGGCTATATGTTTACATTGTTGAATGTGAAGCAAAGATGCATGGATATATTTATGTATTTTCTTTAAACTCTAACTTACTTTTGTGTGTTTTTATATGATTTAGATTGTGATGATCATATTCGATATGAGAGTAGAATAAAGATAGGTATGAAGTGTTGTAACTGAGGTGACTATTAAGAATGGAGAGATTGTTTATATTTTGGATGTTACTACAATGTAGTATTTTGTTTAAGAGTTGTTTAGTCGACAACTTAGATTATATAATTTACATATACAAGATTATTATATCTATATTGCATATTTCTATAATTATTTTACCTTTATATACAAGATATATAATACATATTCATGTATCTGTATATATAGAAATTCTAAAATAATTATTTTCTTTTTCACGGTTAATTGTTTGTAGTTAAATGTAAAGATATGACATGTCATTACAAATTAAAAGAATATCGTTAAAAAAAATGGAGAAAAGTCAGCTTTACTTTATTTGAGACACACAACTGACTGTAGGATAAAAACTTGAAATAGGAATTTGGGCTTCAAAATTGTAATCATGATATATTTGATTTTTTATATATAAAATAGATTCAATTTTTTGATGTTTAATTCCGTAGAATTTTAGTATAATTAAAACTAACATTAATTTTTCAATTTTTCAACCTTTACTATTTGAATGGTGTAAAAAAAAATAACCTTTACTATTTGAATTATAATTCTTAATTTCCGCTATATTGTATTGTTCCAATCACTTCCAATTATCACCACCCTTTTCTTACCTTTTTCATCATCTCTATCACCATTGTTACTTCACCATAATTGTACATACCATCGTTATAGTCGTTGATCATCACACTACTTTTTCTTTACTACCATTAATGTGGCAGCCTGATTAGGAAAATGATTACCCATAGCCCTATTTTTGGAGGAGCTCCAAACAAATATTTAGTTTACTATATAAAAGTATTTAAATAAATCAAACACCAATAATTAATTAATTAATGGATGATATTTATACTTCTCAACAAAAACCCACCCACAATTTTGAAAAGTTCATTTATAATTTTAGAAAAATAAACTAATGATATTAAATATAAAAAAGAAAAGTGTAATTTATTATTATTGAATTATTTCTTTCTATTTTTCTTAATATGACTCGTTATGTTAATGTAAAATCATAAATAAAAATCATTTTAAACATTTTTTCATTCTCTTTATTTTTAATTTTTTTTTCTTCTCCATCTATTTTTAATATTTGACATCTTTTAATCATTGAAATCTCGAAATTAAACCATAATAAATTTCTATTTATTAGCCACACAATTTTTCTTACACAATTATCTTTAAAAATAACTTATATTTTGTATGATACATTTAATCAATTTTTTAAGCTAATGTGCATTTAGTTATTCGTTATTTACACCTTTGGATTCAGAAATTAGAATCATAGGTAATAAAGATAAAATGTTTATGAGGCAAAATGTTTACCAAAGAAACTCAAAACTGACTCTAACTATGAGCATCTATCACCACTTTGTTACCTCCATCACCACTTCGTTACCTCCACTTCTAACATTGCTACTTATACCAATCCCTTTTTTACGGTTATTATTATTATTATTATTATTATTATTATTATTATTATTATTATTATTATTATTATTGTTATTATTATTGTTATTATTATTATTATCATTATTGTTATTATTATTGTTATTATTATTATTATTATTATTATTATTATTATTGTTATTATTATTATTATT